AAACCGTTTAATATATGGGAGATGGACGTCGCAATGATAGGAGAAAAGACACTGCACCAGGAATAGATAATATTCATTACGTTTATTTACTGAATTCCAAATATAGGTAAGGAAGTGCTATTAAAATTAATCAATAAGTACTGGTTGGATACACAAATAGTTAGAGACTGGAATAAATATAATATAATTCTCTTTAAAAAGACAAATGGAAATGCAGATAATACAGATAATTACAGACCTATATCACTAGCATCGTGTGTTGCTAAAACCAAAGATTTAATGATAAAGAGAAGATTGGAGTGGTTTGTAGAGAAAAATAAAATATTATCTAAAAGTCAATACGGATTCAGAAGAGGGCTGAGTACGAAGGATAATTTATGTAAATTAATGTTGATATTAATTTGGCATTTTCAAGAAATAATTATGTGTGGCACTCTTTTGCGATATTAAAGGGCATATGATAATGTCGTCCCAAGTATAATGTTCCAAGAATTAATTAAAATAGGATTACCATTCCGATTGGTGTCAGCCTTAACATTTAATATATATGAAAGGAATATAATAGTTAAGAAAGATAACAAAATAATTGGTGAAAGAGTAGTGAATAAAGGACTACCACAAGGAGGTATACTTAGCCCATTATTGTATGCTATATATGTAAGAGATATAGATAATATTTGGGTAAGAGGTACGAATATTATACAATATGCAGATGACATACTCATTTATGTAGAACAAAGGGATTTAAATCTAGCGTTTAATATTATGAAGGAAAATATTAAAAAACTTCATGGATGGTTGAGGGATAAAGGCTTGGAACTGTCGGATGAGAAAAGCTCGATAGGGTATTCACAAGACATAGGTTGAATGATTTACCAACTCATATTAGTACGGAAGAGCATTCAATAGCGGTTAAAAATAGTAATAAATTTTTAGGAGTCAAGTTGGATCAAAAATTGAAATTTAAAGAATGTATACAAGATATTAAAAAGAAAATAGAAAAAAGGATAAACCTATTAAGAGTGGTGAACAAAACATGGTGGGGTGCTCATCCACAAACGAGTTTAGAGCTATATAAAACTTTGATTAGACCAATTTTAGATTATGGTAGCATTGCTTATCACAGTAGTCCACATGTAAAGGTGTTGGATAAAGTACAATATAGATGTATCAGAATATGTATTGGTGCAATGAAATCCACGCCAATAAATGCAATGTTAGTTGAAAGTGGAGAATTACCTCTAAAACTAAGATGGAAATATTTAATCCATAAATATATTTATAAGAAGATATTAAGAAGAGAGCCAAATATTATTAGTGGATTAGAAGAATTGGAAAAAATTAATGGAGAATAATAAATTTTGGGATAATAAGCAAAATATTATGGTAGACAGTTTGAATTTCATGAAGAAAACTAATGTTTATAAGATATATGAAAACAACGTTAATCTTAAAAAATTATGGTTTGATGAAGGTAAACAATTTTTTGTCAATATTAATAATGAAGAGACAAATATTATAAACAGTAGAGGATATGAGGAAATCTACACAGATGGCTCTAAAGTAAATAATGAAGTAGGGTGTGCCATGATCCATGAGAAGAAAGAATTTCAAAAATTGATAAAACTACCAGATTTTGTTTCAGTATATACTGCGGAATTAGTAGCTATAGGAGAAGCGGTAAAATATATTAAAAACTTGAACATAAGAAGAGCAATTGTATATACCGATTGTAAAAGTTGTGTAGAAAAATTAATAAGCATAAACAAAAAAAATCTTTTTGAGGAAGCAATTTATACAGAAATTCGAAGCGAGTTAGAAAATATAAAATTGATAGGAAATGAGATAAAAATTACGTGGATCAGAGGACATAATGGAATAGAGGGAAATGAAAAGGTGGATAAATTAGCAAAATTAGCAACGAAACAAGGAGAAAAAATGGACATTATGCTGAAAAGTGATGTGGAAAACATAAGTAAAAGAAATGTGGAAGAGGAATGGCAAAAAATTTGGGATGACACGGTAAAGGGAAAAACATATAAGACTATAGAGAATAAAATTAGAAAAAAAACTTGGTTTAAAAGTCTTAAAAATGAAGATAGAAAATTTGTAACTACGTTAAGTAGAATCAGATTAAACCATGGCAATTTTCCAAGTCACTTATATAAAATTGGTATTAGGTCTTCAGCTATCTGTGAATGTGGAGAAGAAGACGGAAATATAGAACATATTATTATGAAATGTAGCAGGTATATAAAACAACGAGAAGAAATGCTGGACAAATATTATGACGACAAAAGTATAATAAAACCAATTGCATGGATTTGCATAATAAGAAATGAAAGAAATTATAAAATATTATATGAATTTATTGTAAAATCTAAATTAGTTATATAATTTTAATTTAGTAATAAGATGTTATGTATTTATTCTTAATGTATATTCATTATGTTTGTATATGACCAAATGTTATATAACGAAGTCAAATATAAAAAAAAAAAAAAAAAAAAAAAAAAAATTAAACTATATTAATATGTGGGTATAACAGCAGTTCATAATGGATAGAAACTAATAGTTTGGTACTAATATTCGACGACAAATTTTGACTATGCAAATTCGTTTCTGACTTCTTTAATTTTTACCATGAGAAAATATATCAATAATGAATTGTTAAAAGTGTATATCATAAATTTGACATAATAGTAATTTTATGATAGATGGAAATAAATATTTTTACAACCGTACAATAATTTGGGCTGCTATTTTATAGGGTAGAGCGGTGTTTAGAGGTCTGATACTAGTTTAAAGTAAAGTAAAACAGATGTACAACAATTATCTTAATTTTCAGGACTTATATTTATAAATAAAGTTTTCTTTTTGTTGTTAATCATTTTGGTTTTCTGCACTCTTCCTTTATTTACAACACCTAAATATAATTTTTAAATGCATGTTTTTTAATTGTTTTAGAAGACGTGTTGTTATATTTAAGTTAGAATAAATTGTTTTTTTATTAAACTTTCATAAGAGCTTACATGTAGGTGGAGTAAAAAAAACTAACTAAATCTTTACAATGCGAAGGTATAAGCAATAAGAAAAGAGTACATAAAAAAGTAAAAAAGGTTGAAAAGAGAAATTTGGCAAAAAATAAATTAAATTATTAGTTATTCTAACTCTGCTAATAAATATTTCTGACAATATACCAGATCAAAATTAAATATATTGTGATCTTTGTAAAAAAAACTATAGAAATTTGAATTTCACATACGAATGTGAATCATGTAGCTAAATTTCGTAAAATTCTTCTAAAAATAAGAATAAGACATTGGATCTGCTAGCCTCTGGTTGTCTCAGACAAATAAACAAAAGACAAATTTTAGAAAAATAGTAAAAAATTATATATCTAAAATTAGGAATTCACTGAATATAGTTCGAAAGTTGGTTGTTTGACACGTGTTATGTGTTGTGATATTCCTCATTTAGTTTAGACAATATTATTGCTGAAAGTCAAATTGGACCATTGTTCCCGCCCTGCTCTGCTTTTAATTATAGCTATATGTATATAAAAAGCATCATAATTCACTTAAATAGTTTTATATAAATTGACTATCTAAGTGCTCTCTTCTTAGTTCACATTAATGTTCTTTCGACTACCATTCATTAAATTTAATTATGACCTTTCAACTATTTTTAACTGTAGTTTCTCTAAAACGTTAAACCATTAGAAAATACGATGTATCCCAACTGCCCACACAGTGAACTCACAGATTAACAGAGTCAAGACCGTTTTCAGCTTTTAATATTTACCTAAGTATTCATAATCTTTACAAAGTCCGTTATAACGAGCAGCAAAAAAACATTCGTTGCAAACTAAATGAATCCCTACAGTTTTTATCAAAGAAATGAGGTCGCGATAATTTTTTTGCTGCTTTGATCTTTCTTTGTATGTCGGTTGTTTGAGCGAAAAGGATATTATTAACTTCCCGTAGGGCAAGTTATAGTAATCGCAAAAAAATCGAAAATGAAAATTTTTATATATCTTTACGTTTCAAAGGTTTCTGAACATTTTGGCATACCTTAGAAAAAATGGATGTATGTGTGTGTGTGTGTGTGTGTGTGTATGTATGTATGTATGTATGTATGTATGTATGTATGTATGTATGTATGTGCGTGTGTGTATGTATGTGCGGATACAAATTTTCGTCGACGATTTCGGGAACACGGATCAACCGATTTGAATAATTCAAAAAACATTCGATTCGTATTGATAAGAAGACGTGCTGATTAGTTTTTGGCAAAGGCAGGTCTAGCCGTTCCGAAGATACGGGGCAAAAAGTGCTGAAAACGGTAACTCAGTTTTTAAGAGAACGGAGCATCCGATTTGAATAATTCAAAAAACATTTCACTTGTATTGACAAGATGAAGAATCGATAAAATTTTCATGAAGGTAGGTCTAGCGGTTTCGGAGATATGGAGGAAAAAGTAAAAAAATGAGCCATTTGGCGGTCAAAAATGATCATTAGACATATGCACATCAAATTATCAGATATTTTACAGAGATTTTAACAATAAGTATACATTTTGTTAACATTCCTATGGGTTCCGTACCAATGCTTATGCGTTAGACAGCGACGCGGCGCTTACGCGCTTTATATTTTGACCGTATGCAGTTAAAGCAGTACGATTGCTCTGAAAAAAAGTTCAGATCTTTCACAATATGTCAAAATAAAGGAAAAAAAATATTTTTTTCAAAAAAAAAAAATTTTTTTTTTTTTTTTAAAATTTTCAAAAAAAGTAATTTTTTGTCTAATCTATAGTTTCTCAAAAATCTTATTTTTTCAAAGTAAATTTTTTTCAAAAATGTTAAACGTTTTTAAAAAAATAATAATTTTTGGTACGGGAAGTTCCAGCAATTTGCCTTAAGGCACGATGCCTTAATTGCCTTAAGACAGAATTCCACTTACAGCTAGTTTGTGTTTGTTTTTATCAATTTTGAATGTCGTAATGAATATTTCATGCCATATAAAAAGTATCTTGTAATGTTTAATCTTTAAAATATTAAATATTTTCTTATAATAATAATTTTAACTACAATCTCTTAAAAATGAAGAAACTTTCTGAAATTCTGAAATTATCACTTGATTTTGCAAAATATGATGAGTATAAAAGTAAATTTTGATTGTAGAATTTTTAACGAAATTTCTAAGTAATAAAATATTATTAGTTTGTGCAATGCAAAAACGAGATAATTGAATATTTATCGTAGTAAAGACCAATGAAATGAATATTTTGAATTCATTTCAATACTTTCTTATTCAACTTCATCCATTATAACAATTTGCATATTTTTAACTTTCCTTAGGATAAGTTTACATTTTTGTTAGGCCATGAGACTTTACGCTTACTTTATGCTTTTTGACGTTTTTAATCATTCTTAATCTTTAGAGAACAAAATAAGAAAAACTAATGCGTGTGAAAGACGATTTTAGACATTTCATCAACGTTTTCTTGAAAACGGTTGAACTAATTCTAAAATTTTAAAAGGCCACAATCGATCGATGCGGTTTTGAACAATCAAATGCTATTTAAAATTTATACTACGACTTTGTCTACAAGTTTTTGATATGATCTGTTGAACTTTTTTGTTGTAATTAATCATTGATTTTTATAAACAATTTTGATTAAGCTTTCCATGATGATAAAATTCATGGTCAATCAAATAAAATTTTGAATCTATTAACTTTCCGTGGGGAAAGATTATGTTTTCATCAAAAAATCCGATTCGCTAATTTTATGTTTTATCGACGTTTCAAGCCATTGTGAATCGAATATGACCAAATTTGGGAAAAGTATGTGTGTGTGTGCGTATGTGTGTATGTGTGTGTGAAGCAATTTTTTGATTAGCCAAGCCGTTTTCTTGTAATAAAATGTTTAAAAAAATTGTCGACGGTTTTTATTAATTTTTTTTGACAATAGATATCATCTTATAAAACATACTAAAATTTTACGGCCCAACTAATAATTTAATATTAAAAATTCATCAAAGTTTGAGAAAATATTATAGTCAAAATTTATGTCAGATATTGCTTTTGTGTTGTAATGAGACAAACAATTCAATTCATTAAAATTTAAAATAATAAACTACAATTTTAGTGAATACAAGCACGTGTCTGGGCAATATAATTAATATATTTTTAGTCAATTTAAATCTGTTTGAGAAAATTCTATTCGAAATCGCAATGTTTAGATTTAATTGAAAGCAATTACTTTATTTTTGAAGACAAATTTTACACATTTTGGGAAGTTTATACAACTTGCCTTAAGGCTGAATGCCACTTATAACTAGCTTTAATATTTAAAATATTAATTACATACTTGTATCACATCTATATAATTTTATATTTTTAAAAATTAAATCTTATTTTTATTATAATTAATAATTTTAAGTGATTTTTCTGAAGACGAAATAAATCTTATATATCGAAATTAGATTAGAAATTTTTTATACCTGATAATTTATAACTAATTAAAATCTTAATTATTTTGTTGGCTCTCAAATTGTAATTATATGTAACATGATTATTTATCATTCAAATATATTCTATTCCCAGCATACAATGTCAATCGCTAATTCTACAAGATCGCTCCACCGTATTTTCTCGGTATTCAATTTGAAGAATTCTGCAGTTGCAGTTCATAAATAAAATATCTCTTTTTCATTTCTTCTACAAAATCTCTCTGAAAGGCGCGGAGAGAAATAATCCGCTTTCACTAATAACTATTTGAATATTACAGCATTTTCAAAATTGCCCTGAGCTTCCGAAGAGGATAAATGAATATTTCATAGAAGTACCTCATTGCCAGATCTATGTAATATTTTCCTTCTAGAAAATTGTTCAGTTTGAAAATGGGAAAAGGCATTTAAATGTAATCAATCATTCAAAGGGTTGTTTGTTATACATAACTGGAAAAAAACGATTTGAAATGGATTTGTCTGCGATATAACGATCGGTATCATAGTTATTATTCATGGATTGAGAGATCGTTTGTGAACATATAAAATTGGAAAAATCTTTATAAATATATTGAGAGTGTAAATTATTGTTATATATATATATATATATATATATATATATATATTTATACGTAAATACACTAAATACAATTTAAAAATAAACAATACACTAATAACATAATTAAATTCAAAATAATCAGACGACAATAAAACCAATAAATATTATTAAAATAAATAAATAATTAAATTGAATTATTCATTTAATTTTCAATTTATTGTGATTACACATTATTTCTGCTGCCGAACTAATCTGATTATTATCACAATTTAGCATATCTATATTTTAATTATTAAATTATAATCACATTCGTAATTAGGTAACAACTAATTTGCGGATATATAAAGCGCATTTAAATGAAACTTCATCGGCATTTTATTAGTCTATATTACAATCTGTTTTCTTTTTTATATCATCCTTTTTTTAAAAAAACCCTTAATTTCCACTTTGATAAATTTGTACAAAATCGTCAATTAATCTTTTCCGAGTAATGTTTATATATATATATATATATATATATATATATATATATATACATAAAAAAATAAAGTAGTTATTCATATTCCCTTTTTCCACAACTTTGATAGGATTTTTTCAAATAAATGAGATATAACCATTGATTTTTTTGCAGCTCTCATAAATTAAATCAGATGGTTATTTATTTTTCAGTAAACTTGGATATTAATATTCAGTCTAATATTATTACTAGCAAATGAGCATGATAATCATACATATTTCAAGCTAATGTACATATATATTGCTAATTCATATAAAAAGTCTTGATAATACAATTTATATAAAATACCTTTAAAATTGAGAAAATCTACCAACTACATTTTAGATAAACATAGTTAATATAATTTACAATGTACTGCATGCGATCTTATTACACATATTATTTTTCTGAGTATGACATAAATGCTTTTTCGTCGCGATGCATTTAAAATATATATTTTAATATGTTTTTTTTTTCTTATTTATTTTTTTATCAAGAAGATATATTGTATCAATAAAACCCAAAAGATAACTTTAAATATTTAATAAAGTTGCGAAAAGTTAATAGTGTCTTTAATAAATCTTTGCTCCAAAGTTAGCTTTTTGGTGTTTTTTTCATAAAATAGTAGTGTTTTATTTAAAAAAATGTACTATGCGAGATCTGGGTATTTTAATATTTTTAGAAAAAGAATTATATATATAGCTCAAAGGCTTTCTAACAGACATCCATTCACGCATTAAAAAGATACATTACTTTTTCTAAAAAAAATTTTTTGAACGTTTTGGATCCAAGTTTTTATATCTAAGTTGAACTTTTTCTCAGAGGATAAAACTACAAAATATAATATAAATTACCTGTTAAAAAATTTTTTGTACGTCCATGCATTTTTATACAAAAAACTGAACTGATCAGAGAATTTGAAAACTCACTCAACAAATATTATTATATAATTGAATTACGTTTGATATCAAGATTAGTTAGTTCTATTTCTCGTAAATATCATGTAAATATATCTAGATATTTTTCAAAAATGTTTAAATCAGTTTATATAACCTGAATATCACTTTGTGCAAATCACAATGAATCAATACGAATGGCGAATTCAGTTGTGAAAAATGATAAATATTCCAATATTTTCTTTAGGATCTAGATACGTGGATTTACTTTCTCATATTTATTATTAAATTTAGAATTTGAATATTGTAATAAGAAAAAACTATTAGAATATTAAACCAAATTATGAAATCAACATAATTTAAATAATTAGAATTACATACATAAAATGAAATCAGAAACATTTTTTGTCGAGTTGCTTCACGTCGTCGAACGTTTGAAGATTTGTATATAGAGATAATACAGCAAATTTTTCATATAAAAATATTTTTTTCTGGTATATATTTTACGGTCGTCAAAATCTATTTCATTTAATTCGCCGTTTTGCAAAACCACTGACACATGTCAGCCTCTTTCAGCTTTTTGTTTATATCCCAAACGTGACAAGAAAACTTCTCTATTATGAGGGTATGTGGAATACATACATACTAAACGAAAATAATATACTTCTTATTTTAATGTATGAAATTCAGACAATTTTGATATTTATTTAGGTGCATTTTAAGCTTTTTTGTTCGCTTTTTGTATATTCATGCAACTTGTCCAACAATTTATTCAGAGTCGATTTACAAAATCAATCAAGCTATTTTTTATAGCTACGTTTCTGATCATTGTGCTTACTTTTGTAAAAATACGAGTTTCTATTATACATACTGTAGTATATATTCTTTGTGTATACGATGAGATCCACAATATTCTCTATTCGTATGATTCCAAATCATTCTATTTCGTTTTTTTTTCTGACAGAAAGGTTCAATCGTTATGGATGTACAAAAGAACAAGTAAATAAAATGAGTATTTAGTGGTGTACATATACGCCGAAAGTTATTCGATTTTTATAATTTCAAGGACTTTTCAAAATATGAAAAATTTCTTATCGACAAAATTTTGTGTTTGTTGCCAATCTGTAAAAATATAAATAACTGAGAATTTTAAATTTAAATATTTTGTAAGTGGCATTTTGCCCTGGTATTATTTAAAAAACTTTTAAATATTATTCTAACTTTTAATAATTTCTTATAATTAAACGGCTTCTGTTAGGCCCATGATATTTTAGGATCATCCAACTCTATTATCATAAAAGGTTTCATTAAAATCGTAAACAATTTTTTTTCAACAAATAATTGCGAACAAAAGACTCGGCCGATCTTTACCAAAAAGTATATCACGATTTTAAGTAATGTTTTTTTATGGTTTTTATATTTCAAATTGGTTCAAATTTCTTGAGAAATTGTAGATAAAAAGGTTTTCAGTTTTCTGAGAAAGCCCTTAATTTAAATTTAATAAAATGTGTTGAATTTAGCAGTATTAAAGGTTCATAATTAAAATAAAAGATAGTAGAGACACAGAATCTATCTGGCCTCTCAGCTAAACAATCAATCTTATCAATAACTAAAAACAATTTTTTTTTAGGTCCTTTCAATTAATTTTTTACAAAAACTAGTTAGTTTGCTCAAGTATTTCATTGTGAATTTATAGATTAGATTAGATTTATATTATTCGGTTGAATTTTGAATTATATTCACGTCATATATAATTATGTAGTCATTTAGTTTCTCAAATAAGTTAATCCATTTTAATACATTTAATAGACATTTGACGCTAATAAAAATAATTTTGCTATCTATATTAGAAATATAGAAATATTTTTGCTTTTACTATAGTTTTGTATCACACTTAGTTGATATGATACATCATGAAGGAAAAAAAGTAATGAAACTTTTTAAGAATGATTGCTCATTTATAATTTTATTTATTTTAGTGTATATTATGTAAGAAAAATTTTATAATATATTTTTTTTAATTTTTAGTGAAACCAGAAATTCCAAAGTCCGAGCGTTACGTGGATCCTGCAATGATTGGTGTGTTGGTTGGAATGGCCTTAATGTTCATCATTATTTGTGTCGTCTTGAGGTTATTCAGCAAGTAAGTTTTAAACATATTGCTTTGCAAATTTTCATAAATTTTATTAACTTCCCGTAGGGTAAGTTATAGTAATAGCAAAAAAATCGAAAATGAAAATTTTTATATATCTTTACGTTTCAAAGGTTTCTGAATATTTTGGCATAACTTAGAAAAAATGTATGTATGTGTGCGTATATGTGTGTGTGTGCGGATACAAATTTTCGTCAACAATTTCGGGAACACGAATCAACCGATTTGAATATTTCAAAAAACATTGGATACATATTGATAAAGAGACGTGCTTGATTTGAATGATTCAGAAAACATTCGATTCGTATTGATGAGGAGACGTACTGATCACTTTTTGGTATAGGCAGGTCCAGTTGTTTTGAAGATACAGAGCAAAAAGTGCACAAATTTCGATTAGATCCAATAGACACCTGCTAATAGTGTTGCGCGTCAGCATGTTGTTATAGCTGAGTTTGTTAACGCGGCACCGTTCGCATTAGTAGATAAGGGTGTCAAGACTGATATATATTTTTTTAATACTTTTTATGTTTGTATTGTTGATACTGCATAAACTATTTAAAATTCCTAACTCAGTGCATATATTTCGCGAACGAAAAATTGATGCGTTTGAAATATAATATGTTTATTCTAACAATAAGTCCGCTTAATTAGATTTTGTTTTTATATATATTTCCAACAAACATATATAAACAACGTTGTCTAATCTAGTAAGTTCTCACATTTTTTGTGATTTTGTTATATAATATTTATTCATAGATATTTTTGTTGAATGATTATTTTTATTCTTCGAATATTTAATTACAGTACGGGAAGTTCCAGCAATTTGCCTCAAGGCACGATGTCATGCGCCCCACTAGTTTAAGATATAATTTAAAATAACCGTGTTATGTCACTATTTGTCCCTCACAATATATAGTCTACATACACACTTTACGGCAAAAATTATCAGTAATATGAGGTACGATCCTCTAATGCATGATGCTTGAGTGAAAAACTATGGATTATTCACTTTGATTTTTTAACAGATTTTTAACAGAAGATTGAATTGAGTGAAAAATGTAGATGAAATATGAGATAAGCCCCTTCATACAAAATTGGCTCGAATACCCTTAAGGCACGATGCCATGCACCACCAGTTTTAATTAATGTTCTTCCAATTTCAGTGCTCGTTGGCGTGAAAATCGAACGATTTTCAACACCCCGAATCCGCGCTTGATGAACGTGTCCCTGTTGCGAGAGAGCAAGCACGAACGAAGGGGCTCTAGGGGGTCCGTCAGGGCTCCCTCCAGGAGGCCCAGCATGGCGTCTCTTAGGCCACAAAGTCCGCAATCAGGTCAGTGGATTTATATTTGATTAATGATCATTATGTAATTTTTAACAATTTTAGTTGAAAATCTATTTAGATATAATTGATAATAGATATAGTTATTTATATTTTTATTTTAGTAAATATTGTAATAATTATAAAAAAAATTATAGTTAATAATTTTATAGTTCTAGTATCTTAGGTATTTTAAATATTTTAGCAGTATTATAAACTACATCAGACAAACATATGGCGTATATTATATCTTTATATTTTATATAGAGATATATTTTTTACTTATAATTTAACAATTTCTAGAACGAAAGTTTTGAGCGTCTGCATTTTTGGGATATGCAGTTCTTGTTTTTATTTTAGAAAATTTTGTTCATTGTGAAATTAATGACAATTGAGGTAGGGTAGGGCGGGGCACAAAGGTCCAATTTGAATTTCAGTAATTATACTGTCTAAACTAAAGGAACTACATTACAACCAAATTTATACTTATTCATTTATGATGATAACACATAACATGTATCAACCTGGGGCTTGTTCCAATAAAGGTAAATTTGGTTTTATATTGAAACACTCTCTTTAATTTTATAGTTTAAGTCATTTTTGGGATTTGACAATATTATTTTATTGACTGGTTTCACTATCGAGCGGATACTTTGCTTGTTTAAAACTTTAAAATACTAAATATTATACCAAAAATTTAGGGTAACTGCGTTTTATTGCCCTGTATGAAGCGAACAACTTTGTTCTGGTGCACTCCAAAATTCGCTCCAAAACAATCGAACTATGTGCAGTGAAGGCGTGCACTCCTAATTATAATTACATTTTTTTTAAATATTTTTCTAAAATTTGCCTTTCTTGCTCTATATAAGAAGGGCATCCAGGGGGCAAATTGCTAGACCCATCGTTTTTTTTTTACTCTTAAAGAGATTTTACAGAATACTACTACATTATTTAACCAATGTGAAGTACAAATTTTATGGGGATATTTTTACAAACATTTCATAGCATATGACCTCGATCTGGTATTTCGAAAGAAATATTTATCAGCAGAGACCAAATAACTATTAATTTTATTTATTTCTTATGAACTTGTTCTTTCAACCTAATTTACATTTTCATTTACTTTTTCTTATTATTTACATCTTTGTCAATGTGAAGTTGATCATCTTACCCCACCCACATGTAAGCTTTTATAAAGGCTATATACAAAAACTGTTGTTATATAAAAAAATAACAATACATCTTACAAAACAATTAAATAACGTATACCAAAAAATTATATTTAAGTAAATACAAGAAATCAAAACTAAAAGTACTACCAAATGGCATCCAGCAATCACGTGAGCATTAAAGGGTAAGGCATGTTTGAGAAAAAAATCACAAAGAATAATGTGTGGGGGAGGGTGTCCAAAAATCCGCAGAAATCGGTTTTGTGATTAATAGATGAACCCTCAACAAAAAAAACTTTTTATATGAATATACATGGCCGTTTATTACCTGATAAGAATTAAGGTGATGGGTGGTTATACATTTGTTGCCTTCTACTTGCAAATAGTATCACTTAATAATTCTATACTTTACTTGTTTTTGAGATAATGATAGTAGATATTTTTACCGGCGGACCTTTAGGCCCTGCTCTATCGTATAATAAGTAATTGCTCAAATACAAAATTTAACATATTGAGACATGTTTAATAATTCTTCAAAAAACTGATTTTTTTTTTTCAAAATTATTTAATAAATTGTAAACATCTACATGTGAAGTACTCAACATTTTGTTTTTATTATTATGCACAATATGTATTGTTTAGTAAAGTATTAAAATTTTTGTTTAAAATGCTTTATAATGATCAAAATTTTCTAAAATAAAAAATTCCGAAAAATACATATCCAGGTATACAACAACAATATCATATTTATCTATTTCATATTTATGTGGATATAGATATATATTTATGAGGGTGTATATTTGTATATTTATATTTATATTATGTGTATATAATATACATATATATATAAAACGAAAGGTTTTTCTTCAGATGGTGAAATAATATGATAAAATTGTTTCTTGGGCATCCATCCAGTAATTAAAAAACAGTTTTATTGAAAAATGTCACACGTCATACATATTCCAAACTGACAACATGTTTGTTTGGAAAAAGCTTTTTTATAATAAAATATATTAATTATTTTAATTTTAAATTTTTCTTAAAATTTTCATAACTCGACGTTTTATCAATTTTTTATTTCATATTTATTTTTTCGTTGCAAATTTGTGTGTTTTTGTGTTATTTTTCAAAATTTATTTGTATGCACTGAAAATGGGTCAAATCAAGACCCGAAACGTATGTTCTCTAAATAAAAACATTTTTCAGTAAAACTGTTTTTTAATTACTGGATGGATGCCCAAGAAACAATTTTATCATATATATATATATATATATATATATATATATATATACGAGGTCTGTTCAAAAAGTACCCGGAATTTTCGTTTTTTCAAAAAAATATTTATTTATTCGTCTACATTAATGTGGTCCCCTTCAAAGTAGTCCCCCCCAGATATAATACACTTATGCCAGCGTTTTTTCCAATTTTCGAAGCACCCTTGATATTCACTTTTTGATATGTCCTTGAGCACTCTCAGCGATTTTCTTCAATCGAGGAAAACCGCCGTCCTTTCATGGGTCTCTTCAACTTTGGGAATAGGAAAAAGTCACACGGAGCCATATCTGGTGAATTTTTGCACTTTGCAACACTTTATTTCATTTTTTACGCAAAATTTAATACAAATTCTTTGACTTTTCAATTCTTCCATTGTAAAAATCGCTGAGCTCAGAAAAACACGTCGAACCTTAGCGACTACCACAGACAAAGTAAACAGTGAATATAGCTGAAAATTTCATCATACTTTAGGGGCATGTATACCAACACAATAAAAAAAAAATTTTGACAATCAGACACTCCAGACCCGCGAAATTTAATTATTAGTAATTCCGGGTACTTTTTGAACACACCTCGTATATATATATATATATATATATATATATATATATATATATATATTATTTAAAAGTTAGTGTCAAAAATGCTGGAATTAGTTAAAATAGATAGCATGTGAAAGATAACTGCACATCAGCCTAAAAAGACTTTATACAAATTGGCTCATCTATTGTATTGAAGACTTGAATATCTATCTGCTATCTATCTTCTGTCTATTCTATTTTCACTAAATAAGAGTGAATTTTATTTTATTACTGAAGCAAAGATGCATATTACATTCCGCTATTAAATTCTGATATAACAACCTTGGTTGAAAAACACAGGCAGTTTCTAATCTATTCAATCATTGCAATTATTATAAGCAAGTATTTAACTTAAATTTAGTTTGATTAAACAAAGATCTACTTGTTATAAAATGTAAGGGATGCATATTATGAAGTTGTACCGAAAATTGATCTATGTTTAATTTTCCAAAACTGTAATTTATTTTTTTTAAATATTTATGAAAGGTAAAAATTAATGAAAAATGGAATCTTCAATATGTTTATTTTTTGTTACAAGCATTACAATAGTGAAAACATATTTAGCTAAATTTTATATTGTCAATGTTTGACAAAAAATTGCATAAAAGCTCCGGAGAATTATATATAGATTTTATAACTATAAATTAATTTTTACATAATTCATAGCTATGAATAAAACAAGACTTTCTAAATATTCAAGCCAATAAAATATGAATTGCATAGGAAAATCTATTTTCCTATTTTCAATTTATATATTAAGCATCTTTGCATTAGTAAATAAGCACTCTAAGCATGTTTGAAGTGTAAAAGTCTATTCTATAAGTATTATTATTTGTAATTCTTATTATATTCTTACGAAGGTAAAAGTTTATACTATATACTTTCCATATATAAACTAATTGAGTTGTTATAAAAAAATATTTTCTACGTTTACGAAAAACATTATAGTACCCATACTTATAACATTTGTTATTAACGTTTTTTTTTACATATTCTTTTATATTATATTGACAAATAATAGCAATTTTAATAATTAATTTGTAAAAATTGTGAAATGCATATTATTTCCTAATATTTTTTGGTTCAATTTGCAAAATTATCAACAAAGTCAATATCTTTACACAACATATATTTTATATAAGACAATATATAGATTGAGAATTATATTCTCGTTTTATATTTGTAAATTTTGATCAATATTTTAGGCAATTTATTTAATTTTTTTGTTTCAAAACAAGAGTACTGATATCGATATGTTTGGTCGACTTTTATAGGAAGCATACATAAAAGTTTTGCAAAAAGCACTTTTTCTTTTCACAAGTATTGACGTGATGATGATATAATTGATATTAACTTCTTATAAATATTTATTTTCTATGTACTTATTTGCATTATTTTATAACATGATGAATAAATTGTTTTTAGTTGAGTATTTTTACGTTCGACTGTTATAAAAATTAAGAGAGACAATCAATTTTTTGAAAAATAGGGTATGCATAGGTACAAAATGGCTGGAAATACCTGCATTAATACGGCTCACCACTTGAAAGTCTGTATTTAAATAAAGTTTGTTAACAACCAAAAAAACTTGACAATAAAATATCAATTACACTTTAAATTAGTTTATACAATACGTTCCGATTTTGATGGGACAGTCCCAGATTTTTACGTTGTATCCCAGGTTTTTCTAAAAGCAATATTAGTCCCCGATTTAGATTTAGGATTGTCCCGGATTTTCGAAAAGTACAAATTTAAAATGAATCTTTGCAATTACTTGATGAAAAAATCATAACCAACCATCAAATATCTACGAAAGAATACGTTGTGAATGGAAAAATAGCCTCTCACATTAATAAACTTTTATTTTCAATTTTACTAAATTTAGCAAAATATATGAAAACTACTTTTTTGACTACCTGGCACGAATGCTATTTTTTTATTATTTTTTTCTATTACGAGAAACCTTTAGCATAATTTTATACAAGG